ATTTTATCAATTCAATATTTCTATTCATTAAATTTTGGGCCTTTACAATTTTTCTTTTTCTCCCTCTATGAGCTTTTCTCAATATATATATATATATATTTCTCTCTATTATCTATATAATATTTCTTTCTTTCTAAAACATTCTCTCTTTCTCTCTCCATTTCTTTGTTCTTCCAAAAATCAGTCTCCCTTTCTCTCTCTCTCTCTCTTTTATTCTTCTCTGAGACTTACTCTCTTTTCTCTTTCTATAAATCTGTTTTTCTTTCTTAAAATTCTAATTCTATCCTACATTTTCTTAATTCTATCCAATTTTTCAAAGTTATCTCAAAATTATTCTAAAATTATTTAAACTTTAATATTTTTTTCTAAATTATAGATCCGATAAATTATATGTTACAGTCGGATCCTAACATATATATTTTAATAAACAAAAACATGCACAAGTAATGTATGTCAATTGATCATATTTATGGATAACTAAAACGAACCCTTCTATAAAAATTATATATATATGATTCTTTTATATATGTGTGAATAATGGGATCTACATTACACACATAATTTATAATCATTAGAAATCAACAAATGCATTGAACATTTTTTACCATAGTATAATTCATAATTGGATTGGATTAAATGATTTTACCCCAATCACACTATATCCCTTTATTCTCTAATTTACTTCTCTTAGGGCAATATTATTCCTTTTGTGCGGTAAGTTTGTGGGATTCATTAATTTAAGTACATAAATAATAACGATAATAATAATAATAATTACGGACACATATTTTAAAAAATTAAAAATAATTTTATGTATCTATAATAACATCTCGTCTCATTAAATTGATTTGTTTACAAGCAATCAACAAAATTCATTAACTAATTTCTAATAAGATGGTAATTTATATATGCAGTATTACTTAGTGAAATGCTATGCTTATGAACTTTCATAAATTTTGAAAAATAGAAGTTTTACGTGATCGAAGTTAATTGAAAAATTCCATAAAAAGAGAAAAGAGAACGATTTTAACATGTTTCATGTAAAGTTTTATTTTTCTTAATATTTTGTTTTAGTAATTTTTTACCTTACTTTACTTATTTGATAATATGAAATTTTTCGATCGGAAAAAAAATAAATAAATACAATCCATACTGAATTGAATATAAAAATTATCATATTTAATTAAAATGATTAAAAAATTTAAAAAAATGATAGTAATCAAATTTTTGATAAAATACAAAATTATAGTTAAAACTTTTTAAGATTTTCTTTTTGAAAGTTATGCATGAACCAGATCGGATTAATCCATTTACAAGCAGTGAGAATGCTTCTCACAGAGTTTCCGGTTCGGACCGGGTTCATGGCTGAGGGAGTACTCCGAACCAAGCCAAACGGTTGAAGCGTCAAACTACAAGATTACCCTTCTATAAAATAAACAGGTAGCGGATTACTGTTCCTCCATTTTCCTCACCTTCCGCTATTTGAGAGCTGATAGAGGAACCGCATTCACAAGATGATAACAATGGACTGGGTGCCACCATGTGGAAAACAATGCACCAAAAAGTTCGCAGCACTTATCCAGATTCCATGTAATATCTCTTTGTTTCTCTTATTTTTCCGTCAATTCTTTTAATTCTTTCGTTAATAATTTCTGATTATGCTTCTTTTTTGTGTTTTTGATCCGTAGCAATCTGATTGTTTCATGGATCTTTAATGTAACAGAGTCTTTCTGATTAACTCTGGTTTTGATTTTGCATTCTATTTCTCTACACCTGGCTACTCGTAATTTATTTAAAGACAATAGTACTTGACGCTTCCAGTATAAGTTATTGGAATTTATGTTTGTTCTTTGAGGATTTGTAGATTTTTTGTGTTATTTTTAGATGTTTACTTTACATATTGTTTAAAAATCTTGTTGACTTTTCTGACATTGTTATATTGCGAGTATTTCTTATGTGCGTTTATGTTTCTTTCGGGGTTATTTTCAGATGAGTCCTTTCACATGTTTGTTGACTATCTTGTTGACTTGTTAATGGTTATGCATTCTTGATGCTTATAGCTTAGATACATATTTTAAGAATTTAGTTTAGCAGTAGATATCTTGGCTCAGTTTTTTGTTTGGTAATCAAAGTCCCTCAGAACTCGTGTAGAGGTGACTAAGAGGAGAAGTTTAGCCACTGTACACGAATGAAGGTTATTTCGGTTCAGGTTTTGCATATAGAGACTAAGTTATTCTCTGATCAGATCAAAGACAGCTCAGGAAACTAAGTTGCTTCCTGGTTTCGCATCTTTGTCCCAAGGATATCAAACCTAAACCAACAAGTTGATCTTTAGCTAGGATCTGCCCCCTTGATGTTTCTGGAATTATTTTAGATGGGCTTATATATATAAAATCTTTGTGACTTGTTAAATGGTTCCGTGTTGTTGGTGTTTTTAAACTATGAACTACTTTATTTTCTTGGTTTCAAAATGTCTCTTGGATTCAGGTTCTAACATAGTTCTTGTTGATTTTTAGTAACTGGAAGCCGTGCACTGATGGACTGGTTAGACTGGTACTACCTTTTCCAGAAAAAAAATAAGAATTACTGTTACAAACCTAGGATATATCCGTTCATTATGATTATAGTGAGTTATACTTGAAATAATTTCTACTTATGTATCCCTCTGCTAAAAAAAGGTGACATATATATATGTATAGAGATATATGTATATGTGCTGTGAAGATATGACTCCAGTGTCCTCCACTTAGTGGAGATTCACCAATGAGAACATAGTAAGTAACTCTCTTATGATTGGGGTATGTCAATATTTTTGCTTCATGGATCTGAAAGAGTACGTTACTAACAAAAAAGTGATTTGTTTAGCCATTTACTTGTCCAACAACTTGATTGTAAGCAGGGAGAGTCTTCCATTCAGCATGTAGTAACTATAAAGCTAGATACTATGTTGGTTCATTATATGGGTTGAATAATGAACAATGTATCATTTGAAGCTGTCCTGTCACCGTAACCTTGTTTGGCTTTTGTAGCTGCTCATAGTTGAAACAGAACTAAATTTGATCTAGCACCTAGGTAGAGCTTATGTGGTCAAATTCTGTGAAGTCTTCATTATTGAAGTGTAGCGTAGGATTCATATCTCTTGGAATAAGTCTGTTAGACAACCATGTAACCACCCTAGTCAGGGTTAAACCCAAGATTCAGAATTAACCTCTGCAGGTTCCATTTAATTATAGCGATAATTATATGGTCACTTCTTTAAAGTTTGATTTTAAATGAAGGAGATAAAAATATAACCATCCACTATGGTGAAGTTATTTAACAGGAGTAGTTGAAGACTGTCACTCCATGGAGTAAATTCCAATAGACTCAGACTGTTATCAAGCTGTGGCATCATCTCTAATGTTTCTACAAGCTGTTTTTCCATAGTTTAATGCCTCTTAATTCTTGTCCTCTTTGGTCCTATTCTTTCAGATGCTAAGAGATATTAATTTATACCATTAAGTAGATCAATTTGGAGGTGACTTCTGTTTGTTAATTGAATTTCTGAGAATGGTAACCACACCTTTACTTGTGATTCCCCTAACTAAGATACTTTTTTGAAAATATGCTACCTAAGTTATTTATTTCCCGTCCTTCCCCCACTATCTCAATTTCTGCTTCCCTGAAGGAAATCTGTGCAAGGAGTATCCTACCTTAGAACTAGTTTTTCTTTCTTACCTTTCCGAATGAGATACCAAAATCTCTTTATTATTCTCAATAACTTAGTTTCTTCTCCTTCCAGTTTCTTTGGGATAGAATGGCCTTTTTGGCTTCTCTATGGTCTAAGGCTCATGCTCATTTTTCACATATTCCTGTCTTTGTTATATAGGAACTAGGGAACCACTTTTTACTGGAATTGTTTGGTTTTTTTGTTATCTTGCCTTCTAGTTGTAGGAGGCTTTAGGATGGTATTTTATCTTCATTTCTGTATTTTTTCTCCTTTCTCTTCTGATAATATTTCTTCTTTTATAAAATAAAAAATTGATTAAAATATACCTGAATTAATTCTTCTCCCTGGAATTGTCCTTGCATCAAAGACAATGAAATTGACTGTCATCTGAACTGCATTTTGTACCCTGCTTCAGATATTTTTTATTGTCTTCTTTCTTTTCTTTTATTTGGTTATTTTCTTAATTTTGACGACCCTGACCCGCATCTAGGTTCACAATATATATGTTTTTTTTTATTTGTTGGAGGCATGAGCTTGAAAACCTAGATTGGTAATGCTCTCTTTGAATATTTCCTTTCTTAGTTATGGATGACTGATATTTAATAGATAAAGCCTTCAGTTACATCATTGTAACAATGACCGTGAAATCTTGTAGGGAGAGTATTTTGCAAAAAGGGATGCAGTACTGACGGAGACACTTGGGAAGAATGTAAGCATTTCTCTTTTGCGTCAGTTGTCTCAATATTCTTACAATAATCTGCCTAGTATCTTTTATGGCTTGTTTGCATTCATTTTCTACCAGTAGGTAGACTTTACTTTTTTGGAACTTATAACTAGATGGAAATTAGATTTCCAAATTGGGTTAATTACTATTTTAATCTCATTATTTTTGGGCTATGTTACAAATATGTGCATGAAAATATTTTGTTATAATTCAATCGCGAAACCAGTCAACGTGTGGAACTTAGTCAATGCTATAACTAGGTACCATAAAAGGTTAAGAAAGATTTAATTGAGATACTTCTCATAATTCAAGAGCCTGATTGTAACAACAAAAAGAAAAGATTTAG